CTGATATTGAGCGGTTTCCAATAAACACACACACACACACACACACACACACACACACACACACACACACATACACACATATATATATATATATATATATGACGCTGTGTCGCAGATATTTATTCGTATGTTAATATTATTGTATTAATAACGGTCGCGGAATAGCAGGCGCAGGTCTTAATTTCGTAATGCGTTAACTGTTATCGTTGTATGGCAAACATCTATGTAAACAAAACAGGATATTATATTTGATGGTCAACATCTCTGTTGTAATGTCCATAGAACAATTCAGATCATGACTCATGTTCGCCATATGTTAGATCGAGCAAGGGCATAATAATTTTTTTCTTTATTTTCTCTCAAGACTAAAGCCACATTACGAAACTTAGAACAGCTCATCAAAAAACATAGACATTCGTTGTCTGTTATATTTAACAATATATGTTTGAATACTGATTGGCTGCCCTAATACACTATATATATATATATATATGTGTGTGTGTGTGTGTGTGTGTGTGTGTGTGTGTGTGTGTGTGTATCCTGATTTAAAATTTACAAAATATTCAAGTTTATTTTAGAATACCGCATATATACTACAGTTCAAATTATTGATTTTTAAAAAAAACACATCTTCCTTACACACACACACACATATATATATATATATATATACATATATATATATATATATATATATATATATATATATAAAACACACGCACAGAAACACATACACGTATATATTTGTGTGTGTTTGTGAATGTGCGTATGTTCATGTGTGTCTTCTTATATATATATATATATATATATATATATATATATATATGTATGTATGTATGTATAATAACTCATTGATGTCGAAGAGTTAATCACCTTTATTAAGTCCTCTCAGTATACAGGACGGTAGACATAATAAATTCAGTGTATAATAAACATATCCAGTAAAATAATATAATATTTATATTATAATAAAAATAATAATATATATATATATATATATATATATATATATATATATATATATATATATGCGCTTGACAATTTTTAGTACGAGTTGATGGCACGTTTTTTTAATATGAAAGCAAAAAATTATGTCATAGGAGGAACAATTATATTATAACTTGTTTACTGTCTAAATTATGTAACGGCATAATTGCCCATTCCACAAATTGTTTAATATCTAAAAATCCAATAAATTAATTGAGTTTCTTTTTTCCAGGTTTTCAGATAATACGTTTAGCCATTTTGATACGATTTGTCGTAAGAATCACTGAAAAATCCATTCAGTTATTTAGCTAAAAAATAACAGATAACTTCTCAATTGAGCAATGGTGAGCGGAAAAAGATCATTCATGCCTCAGTAATGGTACCAACATTCTGGTACTCTGGCTTCCATCTTCACGAACTATCAATAGAATGGTGAATAAGTTTAAAATGAAATGACAGTAGAGAGGAAAACTGAATCAGGAGGTCACAACAACAAGAAGAATCTTCATTTCAACTTAGAGTTAAAGAGATCAATTAGAAAAGATCCAACTCAATCCATAAGACGTTTGGCACGTGAGAAAAAGGCTTCATCTATGGCCGTCCAAAAGATAGTGAAAAAGAGACTTGATACGTGAGAGGTACCTAGATAGACCAGGAAAGAAAGTTAGAAGGTTAGAGATGGTGAAGATCATCTTGAATAAGTTGGAAAATGATCAGGGAATATATATATATATATATATATATATATATATATATATATATATATATATATATATGAAATTTATTTCAATTCTTCATGAGCTTCCGATCCTTAGCTATGATTAATTAATAATAAACATGTCATTTTCGTTTATGATCGATTTCATCACGATTCTTCTGTTACGCTTGTAGAGACATTAGACATTCTTATTGCTCAAAGCAGATTTCAATTGAGTGATAAAAACCTCAAAGAATTCCAATAAGATATCTTTAATCACAATGGCCCAACCTTACTCTAAGTAATGGACAATTTTGCATTTACATGATTTGAACAATTTTGCTGTTATTTTTCGGTTATATATATATATATATATATATATATATATATATATATATGGTTATCCAGACGTCTTACGTTACACCTATCTGATCACATTTCCATTAGAACCCATTTAAACACACACACACACACACAAATTTACCAGAATGCATTAGAAGCATACTAGTAGAAAACTATTAGAAAACACAAATATATTAACTGCATCCACCTGCAAAAAAAGACTAAAAATAATGGAAGCTTTAATAATATAAAAGAATAAGCCAACTCTTAACAATATTAACTACGAACAAGGCCACAATGTGCTAACCGTATTCGGAAATTAAAAACATCCCTACCACACACTAAAACATACACAGAACGTACACACTCAATTAAACTGAAAAATCGAATCATCCTTGATAATGGATAAAGGTATAGCCGAAAGAGCTCGGAAATATAAAACATTTGAACAGTTCTTACACACACTTTGTCCAGAAAAGAAAGCTCTTTTTCGAACACAAGCCCTCGTCACCCATGAATACAGCATGTGTTTTAAACTACATAAATGTTTTACATAAGTGTTTGAAATTATATAAATATTTACGCGCACAGGCAGCTGTGTATGAGTATGTGAGTACATGATTCTAGTGTTTCACCCGTAATTATTTGCGGAATTTGTATCTGAAATGTTCACTGTATAATGTTCGATCTACATTATTAATGGTCACAGCTGAATTAAGAACATTGACAAGGAAGGAAGTTATGTCTTAAATGATATATTGGTTTCGAAAAATACCGTTTTCATCCTTAGATTGCTGACATACACCTGCATCTATTCATTACATTAATAGCATTAATTTAAAAGAGGGCTCAATACCAAGAGTAGAGCAATAGTTATTCATTATAAAGATCTTACATTCGGACAAACAAATACTCACGACAAAGATGCATTTTTGTTTCTTTCTTCCTAAACTGACGAGATGCATTCGCATCGAAACAAAAATGCATCTTTGTCATGAGTACTTGTTTTTCCTTATGTTACATCTATCTATCTATCTATCTATCTATCTATCTATCTATCTATCTATCTATCCCCTCTCTCTCTCTCTATATATATATATATATATATATATATATATATATATATATATATATATATATATGTATATTTGTGCATAATTATCAGGCGTTTTTGAATAGTATTTAATTTGAAAACACCTGATAGTTATTATATATATATATATATATATATATATATATATATATATATATATATATATATATATATATATAATATAATATAATATAATGATGGTAATAAATGAAAATCCACGCATGAAATACCATTTATTATTACTATTATTATTTTTTTTATTTCCTTTGATTTCTCGCGTGTACAGATTTCTTTACTGGTCGCGCCCAGAGACCTAAGGTTAGAAATGGCATCATGACACTTTCCACTGCAAATACATATATATATGCGGAGATTTCCACATATTAATTATTTTTATTAGTATGTGGAAATCTCCGCCTTTTACCTGAAGACGGTCGCGAGACCAGAAACCCGTGTAGTAAAATTATGGAAAATAAAGCATAATATTCTTTTTAAAAAAAAATCCACATTACAACCCAAAACGTTTGCAGCAACTCTCTTTTTTTTTTTTTTAATATATATACATATATACATACATATATATATATATATATATATATATATATATATATATATATATTACATAGATAAAGTCCTTCGTAAAGTGTGGGCTGTACTTGTGAGAACAATGTTTTGTATTTCTTTGAGGCATAGGCTTCTAGGTATCCCTTCAATTAGTCTACTGGAATCTTTTCTAACTAATCCTAGGGCTCCAACTACAACGGGGATTGTTGATGTTTCCATGTGCTACATTATTATTATTATTATTATTATCATCATCATCATCATTATTATTATTATTATTATTTAAACTCTGCTGACTTTGTCATTGGGTCCTCAGTTTATATTATATTTTAAGCATTTAGTTTATTTTAATTTTTTGCTCAGGCATATATATATATATATATATATATATATATATAATTTGCTATGTTTGTAGAAGAGGTAGTCAATATCGAAAATAGAGCGTTTATAGATCTAGACAGTTTGAACATAAACATCAATACCGTATGATGATTGCCAATTTCAGGCTTTTATGTGATCAATAAATCTAATGATCGCATAGAAGTGTAAAACTGAGAGACACCACACAGTGCTAATTCCTCTGTCCACTAATCTATCTATCTATCTATCTATCTATCTATCTATCTATCTATCTATCTATCTAAGTTCTTTTATATCTATCTATATGTATGCATGTATATAGGTGTCTGTGTGTTTGTGTGCAATTTAATGAAATTACAATGTCTGATCTTTTATTATATTTACCCAATTACCAGTTAAGTTGTCGTGGACACACACACACACATATAGACACTCATTTATATTTATATATATATATGACGTTTATAGTAATATATATATGTGACAAAGTGTATGCATATATGTGCATGTGTGTACGTCTGTATGTAATGATAGATAGATAGATAGATAGATAGATAGATAGATAGATAGATAGATAGATAGATAGATAGATTTTGTCAATAACATTTTTAGATCTAATTTTCTCGTTGATTATATATTGGTATATCGATACATGGACACATCAAGAAGTCAGCAAACCTTTGATAAGTAGTCATTCGCTTAATTTTGATCGTAAATTTTCACTGTATAATGTTCCGTCTGTGTGATTGTAGGTTACTATGCCTATGTGATTATAACGTAAGCACTGAGTTAAATACATTAATAAGGAAGTAGTTCATGTTGAAAAAAAATTGTTGTATAATAATTTGTTTTCATTATTACGCTACGGATTTATTGATGCACCTAAGTTTGGTATGTTGTTTTAAATAATTTATAATTACCTTTTTTTCTCTTTGCTTTATGGGGGCAAAATAGGAAAAAGAAAAAATCCAACTCAAGGAAAATGAAGCAATAAAAATACAATAAAGCCCAGGCAGCGTTTTTTTCTACCCGAGGGACCTTGCTGGAAGGACTCACCATTTGCTCTTAGCTGTCCGAGTCGGAGTTTCTCCTCCTCGTCTAATCTTGGTGACCGGCGCCAGTCATCATCTTCAAGAACATTGTGTAATTTGGCCGAGAGAAGCAAATCCTGTGTGGTTATATTCCGTTTTTTGATTAAGAATGAGCGAGGCATCGACTCGGCTCACTCGATCGCACGGGTTGTGATAACCCGGGCTGTCAAACAACTTTTAGAGAGTTTGGGTCTTAAAGACCCGAAATGACAAGCCGTTTATTAAAAATAAAAATATATTTTGAATTTACAAAAATTTGTATGCATTTATGCGTTTAAATACCAGTATAAATTTATATTCTATGGTGTGTAGGAAGCTTGAAATTTTCTTTAAGTAATATTACTTCAACATCCACTCTTTGAATAATGACACATGTAATTGTTTTGGGGGGTTTCTTTTATATCGCATAGATATATATATATATATTTTTAAACTGATTATATGTATTTAGTTAGTATTTTTTTTTTTTTTTTTTTGCTTTTCCGGCATTAATGTGTGAGTTTCTTTGTGACGACGTGACCAAATATATTTTATATATGATCTATATGAGCAAGGTTTTGGGAGATTATGACGAGGCTGCAAATCATAAAAGATTGATGTGAGTTTTTTTGTTTTTTTTTTCTTTTGGACCCACTGTAGTTGCTGTAAATAAAATAAAATGGAATTGGAAGTGTATTTGAAAAAATATCTGGTGTTTTAGTCGAGTATTTTTTTGTTTGGGGAGGAGAATGTTGGTTTATATTGTCATGTATTATATAATTAAAAAACAAAAATTGGTTGTCTCAAACTTAGAATGAGATATTAGATGAGATGTATATTATAATCTTATATTGTAATATATATATATATATATATATATATATATATATATATATATATAGAATATAGTAAAATAAATATATATTTGTATTGATGTGTGTGTGTGCCTTTGTGTCTGTATGCGTCCGTGTGTGTGTGTGTGTGTGTATCGTTCAGCTGGTTGTATATTTCCTTTAGACTTTACTCCTTGGTATTATATTGTTGATTTTATTTTATGTTATATCATTTTTTTTAATATTTATGTTCCCTTATCAGGATTGAAGTTTTGATATAAAGTTTTAGCGTTGTTCTTTTTCAATCAGATTTCATTTTCTACCAAAAAATATCCATTTTTTTCCGTTCGTTTTCCGTTTTTTTTTTTTTTTTTTTTTTTTTTGTTTGTTTGTTATTAATGAATGAGGGGGGGAAAAAAACTCTCCGACAACGTTCCTCGACGTACAGTCCAATGTCCCAGGTCCAATTTTTAGTGGCGACGCAGGTTGAAACACCTTCACTTTATATGCCGGCACCACCCTACACACACCTCCATATTTTTTTTTTTCGCTTTCTTTAAAACTGAGGTTTTACTGTCCCATACATACGCCGTCTTCCCCCCTCTCCCTCCCCCTCTCTCTCTGTCTCTCTTCCCAAACTTTCGTCATATAAGCACCACCCTGTAACCTTCATTTATTTAATCTCTAACCCACATCTCTACCCACCCACCGGCACAAGCACCCGGCCTCAAAATGCCCTTATCCTCTCTCGCTTTCTGTCTCTTAATGTTTTTTTTTTTTTATTCCACCTTTCTTTGTTTCTTTCTTTGTTTCTTACTCTTTCTTTCTTTCTTTCTTTCTTTCTTTCTTTTTCTTTCTTTCTTTAATAGTATCAGGTGACAATGAAACTTTATAACGTACCTGTCGCTGACAGGGAGGAAGGGTGTGTGCGTGTTTTTCAGGCGGGCAGGCGGGCGTAAAGGTCTTTGTTTCTTTCTAAAAGCTTTTGTTATTGGGCACAGCGCCTGTACGCGCACGCTAGTTTACTTGTGTTAAAAGGGCTTGTTGGCTTTTCTACCCACACGGAGCGTGTAAGACAGCGTGTGTCAAATTATGCGTACACCATAAAAAAAAGGAAAAAGAAAGAAAATAGAACAATGATAGCGCGTATATATACCTGCCTGGACCCAAGTAGCTTTTGAATGCGGGTGATTTAGGTATAAGAGTACCAGTGGACGTGTGTAAATATGCAGGCGCGTGCTTCTATATAGGCTTTTCCGCTGTCTATAAATGTGTATATGCTTGCAGCTTGCCTGTGTAGGCACGCGTGGGTGAAGGTTGTGTGTGTATGTGAAAATATTTGGCTACAAAACTATTTTGAATGCATTTTTAATTAAGTTTCAACTACATCTACAAAATTTGCTATTCATAAAGAAGAGAGTATTTTATAGCATCTACGATTTATTGATGACATTTTACTAATTATGGATAGCGGTTCGGATTGAGGAATCGGAATGCTGAGTTCGAATTCAAGTCGAATCCATTATATTCACTTACGTGCTAATACCCTTAGGAAAGGTATGAATCCTCTTCTTCTCCCCCAGCTATGGGTAAATAGCAGAAAGACCGGGTTCTGTAGCCTTGGATGGCAAGTGGTCTACCGCAGAAAGAAATGGCAACCTACTGAGGGAAAATCGAAAGATACATGATCGCCTACGCGTGTATCACGCATGGCATAATGATGTCAGGTCATTCCAAGTTTGCTATTTGACCATATAACCCAGTAGTACCCCTGCAGTATGGTCGGGTCATCGGGGAATATACCAGTCCTGAGGAGGGTGTCTAGACACAAAGCAGGGTTATTTAAAAATAAAAAATAAAAACTCTCAAAAGAATGGCATGTACCTTCTTGTAGAGCCAACGATTATCTAGCACAGTAGGGTAGATTGGGCCCCAAAGCTAAGTGTGCATCTGTACAGACAGAGTATCGCATGGTGGATGGAGACTGAATTCAAAGGCCAGGGTTGGGGTTCCACTGACGGAATCAACTCACACAGATACGTGACTAAGGTGAACCTTCAATATCTGTCTGTATTTCTGAGATGAGGTATTATGTACAATATTTACATTATATTGTCCTCATCTTTGTCGCCATATTTATGACAACGTTTCGGTCGTTGTACGATTCGACCTTCTTCAGGTGGTTGGAATGTTCTCAAGGACACATGGCACAGTGGATAAAGGCGTTAGTTAGATCCAGTGACAGGACCCAAACAGTGTGAGTTTAATGCCTGTTTAAGGTGGTGGAGAACTTTGAGAGTGGATTTAACAGGAGATAACTGATAACTTACATCCATTAGATATGGAACATGGAACTAGAACAGTCTACCCTAGTGAGCGAAATAAAGGGTTCAGTCCAACATTCCAACCGCCTGATAAGGCCGGAGCGTACAACGGCCGAAACGTTGTGATAAATATGGCGACAGAGATGATGACAATAATCCGAATAATGTAAATAGTGTGAAATTCAAGTTGGCGATAAATCAACTGTGGTTTGAAATGGAAAAGGATGAGCGCCGTCAGGTCTATTTGCCCATGTTGATGTTTCGCAAGAATGAATAACTTTCCGGCGTTTCAAACCAGATATTAGGAGGGAACTGGTCAGGTGATCAAGTTGAGCGGCGACCCTGCGACCACACCCTGTCACTGGACTGATGATGATGATGATGATGATGATGATGATGATGATGATGATGATTGTTTTACAAATACAAGAATCAACGGATGAATTAAAAAAAAAAAAAAAAAAAAAAATTAAATGATTTCAATAATGCTAGTTTCAATTTAGACTTTAAAATGATCAAAAAAAAATGTTTAATTCTAACGTTCGGAAAAAAGATCAGGAGATGTGAGTTCGATCCTCACTTCATGCCCCATACATTCGGCCTTGTGCCACATCTAAGATTAGCTTAGAAAATCATTATTGGGCACCTCAACTTAGTGTAATGACTAGCAAGCTTGTCTCGCTAGAACAATTGAATAGTGAGTTCGATCCTCACTGTGTGCTTTATACTTTCGGCCTTGTTCCACATATAAGCTACGCTTCGTAAATCTCTATTATATTGGACTTCTATGTGGGGTAATTCTTATCAAACTTGTCTCGCTATATCGATTACGACTAAGTATTGAGTTCAGTCCTCACTGGTTGACCCATACTTTAGACCTTGTGCCACAACTAAGCTATGCCTAGTAAATCACTATTGTAGGGTACTTATATGCCGTGTACATAATTCCCCCTAAAAGCAGATGATGAAAAACTGGAAGAAACCTTGGAATATAGCATGAAATTGGGAGTTGCACCTATTTTTATTCTTAATTCTTTTCTTTTTTTTTTTTTTTTTTTGCCAATGCCATATCTCTGGCAATCTAACATTGGGTGTTATTTTTTAACTAACGCTACCTAATAGCAAGTTTGCTATCAATAATAACACCATTGCTGCAATCTGTTACTATCGTTACACACACACACACACACACATATATATATATATATTCCAACAAAAATTTCGCTTGAAGATGGAACGGAGCCCATTTTTAATTTCAACTCAATTTTAATTTTAAAGGATTATATTGAAGTTTTCGGCTCTTGTTTTGAAACATGAGACCTCTTATGTAGCGATTTGGAATCATATTTTAAAGAAATAATTATATTTATGTTCTACTTTTGTATCGTGCACTATTTTTTAAAAATAATAACTAAAATACTAAGGACTTTTGGATTATTTACCTAACCAGTTCCTTCCTATTTTCTATATATTTTCACACACACACACACACACACACACACACATATATATATATATATATATATATATATATATTAATATATTTCACCCCAAGCGAGGCAATAAAGGGACTCAAGGCGCAATAAAAGAACAAGAAGTAAGAAGAGAGAAGATAACAATTGACATTCGCTTTTAACTTTTTGAAGATCAAAGTTGACGAAGATGTAGATGTTTGTGCTAGAACAAAGTTACAAGTCATCATGACCGAGCGTTTCATCGTACTGGTTTTGTTCAACTGCAAATCCCACCAGATCGAAGCGCTTCATTCCCTAGGTTTGCTCGCCATAGTTGCGGTTTAAACCGAAGGTTGGCTGTGGTTGTTGAAGAAGCAGAAGCGTGCCCGGGAAGGCGTCTGCAACAGTGAATAGTTAACTATCCCAGCAGATAGCATTGGGAACGAGTAGCAAGCCATTACACACACACACACACACGCGCGCGCACGCACCCACACACACACACACATACACATACACACACGCATACGCGCGCACACATACACACACACACATACACACACACGCACCCACCCACACACACGCATACACACACGCATACACACACATACACACACACACACGCGCGCACACATACACACACGCACACACGCACACACACACATACACACACATATACACATACACACACGCACACACACACACGCACACACACACACACACACACACACACACACACACGCATACACACACACACACACACACACGCACACACACACACATACACATACACACACGCATACACACACACACACACACACACACACGCACACACACACGCACACATACACACACGCACACACCCACACTAACACACACATACACACACACGCACACACACACACACTAACACACTTACGCACGCTTGAAAAGAAAAACGAATAAACTAGTAAACAAAAAAAAAATCCACCTACTCCGTACAACCTAATTAAACCTAAAGAGCCAGATAAACCTACCAAGGTTTCACCTACGCGGATCGTCAGGAAATACTGGCACAGCCGCACCATCGTTCTTTCTCCAATGTTCCTGACCTTCGCACCAACTTCAATAGTATAGAATCCTTCCTCATGGAACAGTTGCCGGATATATTTGCACTTTGCGAAACAAAGTTAAATTCTACAATTGCTGGCAATGAATTCTCCGTTCCAGGATATCATTCCCTTTGCCGAAAAGATTCCAGCATTCACATGCAAGGCCTTTGTATTTACATTCGTGATAATCTTCAGATTGCAAGGAAATTGTCTTTCGTGTCCCCAGACAATTCTTTCACGTGCTTTCTTCTTTCACTATTACACTTTCTTAGCTATCTCTCGTTCCATTATCGCCTTTTTCAGAACTGCAGAATATTAGACATAATCTCTGACAGTATAGAAAAAGCACTCTCTCCCCATCCATCTGCGAACATGCTTGTCTTAGTCGCTTAAACATTCTAATGGTAGTGATATCAACGATATTGAGACATTATATTTTTTCATTGCTCAATCCCGTAGTCCAATCAAGGATTTTCTACTAGTATCCTTAGTAAAATCGAGCAACTTGATTTAATAGTCTTCTCCTCTCCTTGCTTTTGACTATCTTCGTTTGAGAAGCTAGCTTGCGAACTTGGATCACTCTGTGGTATCTATTGATATTTCATTCCAAACCATCCATTACACAAGAACCTCCTATTCATAAGACCTCTTTCCGTGACTATCATGCCGACTGGGATTACCTCCGTGATTTTATTCGTAACACCCCTTGAACTAACATCTTTAACATATCAATTGAAAATTGTACCACTGATGTTTCTTCCCGGGTCAAAAGCCGACATGGATGCTTTCATCCCTTCTTGTAAATACCAGGTGAAACCTTGATCCTCTCCATGGGTCACACCAGCATCCTCGGCTGCTATAACACAGAGGAACTACTATTTTCGGTTATACCAGCATGACAGCTTTCGTCACAACAGACACCTTTTTGTTACTACTCATAATAAATGCAAAGCGAGTCGTTGAAGGAACCATGTCCCTGTTTGTCTAGAGCAAGGGT